TATTATGGGTAAGATCCCATAACACACACTCACACACACACACACACACACACACATATATATATATATATATATATATATATATATATATATATATATTGTTGAGCCTTATGTATTTTCTAGTATTTGAAATTAGTTGTAATGAACTGGGCTCCACCTGCAAGTTTATCGACCACATTTGGCGGTGAATCTAGCTATATCCTTATCAGATTGTGACATGATGGCCACATTATGCTTTGTTACCATACACTCAGTAACAACACTAATGATACGTGACCATAAACAAACATATGAAAGCATTGTACATTGTATATACAAATCCTCTCACAATAATACTATGAACAGCAGAAATATATAAATAATAAATGTTTTAGTTGTTACAAAATGATTTTTATTGCTCACTGTTTTGTTTTTAAAACTAAGAATATTTTAATTCCGATCGATTTATGCATTTTGGACATCCTTCGTCTATATCGAAACAAGTTAGCTTACGAGAGAGTGTGGTACATGTGTGTCCGCCAACGTCTCGCAGATATACTAATATCTACACGAAACAAAATATTTAATAAGTCTGCTAAACCACCGTCCATATATTTTCGTTAAATTAATGACATTTTATTACGAGCGAAAAAAGACGAAATACAAAACAAAAAAAAAACTCAAGGAAACCTTTGGGAATAATACCTTTCTATACTTGACTCATTATTAATAATAGAATCCCATTCCTACAACTAAAAAATTCCACAAACTGAAACTCACAGATACCAAAGTGCTGCTATAGAAAAAACGGGTGAAATTTTTCTCCTCTTCGGATATATTGTTTTATAAAGAATTAAGCAACATAAAACAAGACAACAGAACAAAATTAGGTTCTAACAAAATTTAGAAAAATTACACATATATGATATAAAAAAATAGAAACAAATAAATAGAACAAAAAACCGATATAAACAAAAAGAAAAACATTACAATATTCCATTGTAACGAAATACATATATCTGAGTTGGTATCCAGTTTTTCTTTTAAATGGTGAAACAACCGGCCTAGACTTAGTACGTCTTCTCGATCTAGGCTGATAGTGATGAATTTCACTGTTTAAGAAGAAAATAAATAGGGATAGCAACTCATACACGTGTACTCAGTGCAAATAACATTTATAGAAATAATACACACACACACCCACACACACACACACACACACACACACACACACACACACACACACATATATATATATATATATATATATATATATATATATATATATATATATATATATATATTACTGGGCGCGTGACCGAGTGGTTAGAACTTTCGATTTCTGACCATGAGACAATGTTCGATTTGTCAGGAAGGAGACATTCCTTATGTTATCGGTCTGTGGGGGGGGGGCGATCCCAGCGTGCAGCACCTATGGAAAGTGCCTGAAAATCATACCACGGGTTGACCCAAGCTTTGTGAGTGAAATTGGGTAGACGGAACACTTGGAACCGTCGATAGCTGTGCTAGCACGAAGTCACAAGTCATCGAGACCGAGGGTTTGAGTGTGCTGGTGTTATTCAAACTGATGATTATCATTCTAGATAATACGCTCTCTCCGAGAAACTGTAACTAAGGTCTGCTCAGCATAGTTGCAGTATAAACCACAGATTCGCTTTATGAACAAACACAAATGTGCCTGAGCGAGAGTCTGCAATAGGGATTGCCTAGCCGCCCTAGTTGACGGGTATCCTCGAATACGAATGGCCAGTTAATATATATATATATATATATTCCATATATTTGCTTATATATATATATATTAGGTGTTTTAAATCTTTATAAATATTTCAGTAGTTAAGCAATTTTTTTTAGATATAGTAAAAAAAAAAAAAAAAAAAAAAATTTTTTTAAATATTTATGACAGTTAGATTTAAGTTAGGAATATCCGAACAGTGACGTTCCATATCACGTGACGTCCGCGTCTCGCGAAGGACGCTACTTGCTAACTAACAGTAATTTTAATTTATTTGTAACAAACAGTTATTTCTGATGAAAAATTGAGGACAATTTGAAATATCAAATATATATATAAATAAATAAATACTTTCATAAAATAAAACATTATAATTTTCAATTTGAAACTTTTTCTATATATACATATTAAGAAAGTATACGTGGCTTCTCATTATGCTATATATACATATATATATATATATATATATATATATATATATATATATATATATATATATATATATGCAAAAGTAGGTATACGATAATATTGTATAAAGAGATAAGTAATATTAAACACATACTTCTGAATAATGACTTCTCCATTGCATTGCCTTACCAAAATTTATAAAACATTACAGAAGATATGTGGATGTTATGGCTATTAGTGCCGGGTTGATTCTTTCACCTAAACATCCAAAAACTTGTTGAATGCCTCCGTCGCTGACAAATTGACAAAGAAAAGGCGGAAGGATACAGAGACACTAGAGAGACAGTTTAGGACACTGATTATATTTCCTTTTTTTTTTGGATTCCAACGACCTCTTGTTGGGGAATTTCCTTCCCGAACAGTTGGCACGTGTTCACCAGTCAAAGGTCCAACAGAGAAAGAGATAGATTCTTCTAGTTTATTTTTGGCGCCAGGAAATCTCTTTTTGCACATGCGTAAATTGTCTTTCCTGTCACAGGACTCCTGGGAGATTTTTATGTTTATTTTATTTTGTATTTTTATTTAATTTTGTACTTTTATTTAATTTTGTATTTTTATTTTATCCCCACAGATATGAACTTGAAATAAGCAAAAATAAACGCATCATTTTCCGAATTCATCATAATCAGATGCACTCGAATTATAAAACGAAAACCATTAAAAATATTGTTCACCTGTACATAGCACTTAACGAAACTTAGATTTATCATTTACTATAAAATTTAGATAATACGGGACCTCAAAAATCTCTATGTTTATGAATTCTCATGTTCACTGGGAGATTGCATCCCCAACATCAACAATCAAAACCAGAATTCAACTCTTACATTGGTCACACGTACACCATACTCACTCGTGGACTAACTTGTCACCAGTCGATAATTGGTGCAATTCAGGATTATACTTTCCAGGTCAATCCACAAAATACAACATTAAACATGAGGTCAATATGAGTGGATAATTCCCAAATACTCTACAACACCCAATGCAAGAAAAGACTCAAAATACTTGAAGCTATTATTATACAAAATAATTAATGCACTACTGTAGACGGTATTTTAAAGTATGTATAAAATATTTGTTATGTTTTTAACATAACAATAATACTTAAAAATATTTAATGCATTCATGTTCAGTGACGTCAACCCGTCAGAAACGGTTTTATACAAGACGTCATTTATACAATTCACGCATAATTGCATTAATTTTGAATTCTAGCGTTCTAAAACAAATGTCAGAATGATGCCCATGAAATCTTCTCTATCAGTACCAATAACACCCAGTTCTTAATAATGACTGAGATAGTCAAAAAAAAAAAAAAAAAAGGAAACAGAACAAAACAAAATCAAGGAGTTTGAAAAGTTCATCTGCAATTTTGATTCGGATGTGCAATTCGAAATTGAAAAAATACAATGAGAAATTAATCAGTTATACTTCTTTAAATGAATAGTTGCTGCCTAAATATAACTCATATATATATATATATATATATATATATATATATATATATATATATATATATATATATATATATATATATATTTTATGCAAAACTAGGTAATCCGCATGGGTAGAGCCAAGGAGGATGATATCCGGAGAGGAATTGAAATGGTACATCTAACCCACTCATATCTTATCTTCTCTCCCATCTCACCTCCTGACTTCGTTAATTTTACATATGCTTGATGCGGTCCGTCAAAAACGTGTGAATTTCTTTTCATTTTTCATTTCAACCTTTGGAAGTAAAGTCTGATGATCCAGAGCCCTGTTAAAGGGGTTGTGGTGAAATAACTTATTACATGGAACCTTAAAGTGGTCTGTTTTTATTCAAATATATATATATATATATATATATATATATAAGGCATTTTATCTTTCTACGTCATTTTTATAAATTTTATAAAAAGTGTCTTAAATAATTGTCATATAAAGAGAGAGAGAGGGAGAGAGAGAGTGGGGGGCAAACAGACAGAGAAAAAGTAACAGGGAGATTAAGGTGGTGGTAGATAGGATAGATAGATAGATAGATAGATAGATAGATAGATAGATAGATAGATGGATTATTGAGAGGCAGGTGTAACAGATCGACAATTAGGGAATATCAAGACGAAACTGAATTGCTTTGTTGAGACATTATCCTCAAAGAGGCCATCTATTTTCAGGAAATGAAAATTGCTTCTCTTCGGAAATGTCAATACATATATGGATTTATGATCAACACACACGGTTGATACGTCAACATTCTTGAATTAATCGTCCTTCATCTTTGCATCATCTGTCCAGCCAGCCACGAACAAAGACGTTTTATCATCCAGGTAAGTATATCCTGAGAAATTGTCAAGTTTTTCGCTCAAATGATATATACTCAACATTTTTGTCATTCTAGAATTATAAAACACTCAGCACCCTCGTCGAGTTTTCATCTGCATTTCATAAGCTTGAGACTAAAAGATATACGTTACCCAAACAAGATTGATCAAGTTTGGTTTTTTTTTGACATTTTTGTCTCGCCTTATAGCACTGAATGTTTTGTGTATTCCTCGCCAGCACTCATAGAAACATGAAGGTTTTGTTAGTAGATGTATATTTACAACTTGGAAATTATAGCAACACAATTTTCTTACTTTTTGTTCCAATTTCGCTTTATACTGTATTAAGCTGAGTAAGTCAAGTGTACCCAGTTTATTTTTAAATCTATTAATATCATAATATCAGGTATTAATTAAAAAAAAATTAAAAATAAGGATCAGTTATCATTTATAGTTTTCTAAAGAGGAATCCAACATTATTTACGGATTACGGCCATATCACGTTGAAATATCGGTTCCTGTACGATCACCGAAGTTAAGTGATGTCGAGCCTGGTCATTATCTAGATGGGTGACCGCTTCGGAATACTAGGTGCTGTAAGATTGGATGTGTGGGTGGTGTAACGGATAATGACTCGGAATTGTTAATCGGAGAGCTGAGTTCTAATTCCAGTTGGGTTCGTTATATTCCGCTCCGCGCAAAATACTCTTGGGAAAAGTATGAATACATATCTTCTCACGTTTCTACCTATGACATATAACCTATTACTACCTATAACCCATTAATGTTCAGCGTCTTGCTAATGAGCGTTAATAGGTTAAGTATGAAACGCTTTATGGGTGAATTGAAAATGGCTCAGCAGAATCTTCCATTTTCTTCTTTCTTTTACTTTGGATTTAGGATGATCTGCATCAAACTTAGTAAAAAGTTATATTAATTTTGACTTGAATTTTAGACTTGCTAAGACTGTTTTTTTTATAAACTCTTGACTTTTAATGTCTATGATATGAAGTCTTCGTAAATGTTTTCATTTCAACCTTTGGAAGTAAAGTCTGATGATCCAGAGCCCTGTTAAAAGGGGTTGTGGTGAAATAACTTATTACATGGAACCTTAAAGTTTATGTAACCGATTAATGGCAGTTTTGGGAGTCGTTCAAAAACAATATGAATTATGTGCATCATTGCCTCCGAATATAAGAGGTTCTTTGATAAAGTGTCAGCTACTGAGCAGACACAATGTTTACTTATCCTGAAAATGCCTTAGTCTTTGTTGATTCAAGAAATATATTTCAGTCGGAGGTTTCCCTATCATTTTCCCTGATCACTATGTAATGCTAAACATAATAATGGTAAGGATAGTCAACTGAATAATCACTGGAATAAAGACGACGCATTAGTGAAGAGAATTTTCTTAAGTAGTTTATTCATATCTTATTTCAGTTCTTATATCATCAGATTATAATTCTGCAATTATTAGTAAAAGGTGTAGAGAAAAAGTGAAAAAAGGAAACCTTCGTTGCGCCGGTTGAAAATTTGAACTAGACAAGCCAAACCGACTTGGATAACCGCGACTCTACGCAAACATCTGCTTGTAGACATAACAGACATTAATTAACGAGTTCAATAGTCAAGAATAATTCATAATAAATCTTCGACTATAAAATTCGGTCATTATGATTCTATTACGTCTAAAACTACTAGATTTCAAAGCCATTTTAATACTATTAATATAGCCACTTAATGCTGTTAATATAGCACTGGGAATATAGCCATTTAATTCTGTTAATATAGTAACATTAAAATAAGTACTTAATTCTTTTAAATAGCACTATTAATATAGCCACTTAATGCTGTTAATATAGCACTAGAAATATAGCATTTAATATTTATATAGTGTTATTTAAATAGACACTTAATTCTATTAATATAGTCACTTAATGCTATTAATATAGTATTATTAATATAGCCATTTAATGCTATTAATATAGTATTATTAATATAGACATTTAATGCTATTAATATAGCATTATTAATATAGCCATTTAATGCTATTAATATAGTATTATTAATATAGCCATTTAATGCTATTAATATAGTATTATTAATATAGCCATTTAATGCTATTAATATAGTATTATTAATATAGACATTTAATGCTATTTCTATAGTATTATTGAAATAGACAATATGGACACGTGGCCAAGTGGTTAGAATGTTCGCTTTCTGACTTTGTCAGGAAGGTGACTTCTCGAGGTTATCCTAGCGTACGGCATCTTTGGAAAGTGCCTGAAGAACATACTACGGTTGACCCAAGGAAGCCGTCGATGGCTGTGCTAGCACGAACTCACAAGTCATCGTGACCGAAGGTTTGAGCGTGCTGGATTTGTTCAGTTTGTTGTTCACGCTAGATAATACGCTTCTCCACCAGAGACTGTAACTGGTGGACTCTGTGGGTGTTGAACAAACATAAAACACACCTGAGAAAGTGCCTGCAATAGAGATTAACTAGGAGCATACAAGTGGGCAGCCATTACAGCAAGTATTAAAATAGAAACTTAATATAGCAATGTCAATATACCAATTTAAAGCTATTAATATGACACTCTTAATAGGATTACTTAATGCTATTAATACACCACTATGAATATAGCCACTGTAATGCTATTAATATAAGAATATTAATATTAATATGGCCATTTAATGTTATTAATATAGCGCTATTAATATAGCCACTTATTTCTATTAATATAGCACTGTTAAAATCGCCACTTTAAATCTATTAAAACGAGTATGTAAAAGATTCGCCAAGGGGAGTACTAAGTGGATTTATTGCCGCCATATAATTTCATTCGTTCTCATTCAGTTTCTCCATGGCATTTGGTTTGATTATACAGTAGCCGTCCTAATCTTGGGTTAGCGAGTTCTAATCACGTTGAGGCTTTCATTTTCCAATCTCCCCTGCTTATCTGGCGATCGTCGATTCATAAACAACTGAAGCGTTTCGATAAAGACCAAGAAAATTAAAAAGATATAAATAATCAGTCGGACGATGACAACCAAATCCGAACATAAACAAATATGGACAAGTAAGTCATTTGAAAGATGATAAACTACTATATAAATATACATAGAGAGAGGCGTCACACTTTGGGGTAATGTTTACTGAACACTTCAAGCAGACTATTACTACTTAATATTAACCTAGTTCCTCACAGTGTGTCCTATACTTTTGTCTTTGTGACAGATTAAGCTAAACTATGATTATGTACGATAACAGTACTGCAATTATTTAACTAAATATATGCAGATAAAATAAATAAGAAAAAGGAGGATGGCAAGGGAATGTTAACGGAGCAGTTTCCGTATTAAGAACAGTGACTCTTCCCTTAACGAATTATTTGTTGACTGACTTCAAGACATACGACAAGCTATAATATCTCAGGAAATAGAACAAAGAAAATCCAACCAAGCAATGTTGTACATTGGACAAAATCTTTGGTCTTGATTGTCTTCACTTTCTTCAAAATAAATTAAAAAATGAAAAAAAAAAATGAATAAATATATCGAATAACAAATACAATTTTTGAGATGAGATATTGTAATTATTAACATTGTTCGGACTGTTGCCCTCATCTTCATGGCATATTCACGACGTTTCGGCTTTTTGTAAGTTCCAGCCTATTTCAGTTGATTGGAATTTCGAACTGAACCCATTATTTCGTCCACCGGGCTAGATTGTTCTGGTTTCACGTGATATACCTCTTCCAGATGTCTCAGTTATCTCCCTTTAACTCAATTCTACCAATTTTTTGTTCACCACTGCAGTCGCCAGGTATTGAAATCACAACACTTCGAGTTAAGTCACTAGATCCAACCAACGCTTTTATTTACTGAAGTATGTGTCCTTGAGTACAACGAAACGTCGCGAATCTGTCTATACAAAACTACTAAAAGCTTGTGATTGGTTGCGAGCTTTTTTTTGGCGCGTCAGTCTGGCGCGTAATGATTTCCGAGTTATTTATACAGTATTTTTATTTTAACTATCTTCAAACAGACAATTTTTTTAATTAAAATATTTTAAGTTAAAGACAGACACAAAAGATCCCGCTATGCTGTTTCGTCCAGTTGTTTGTAATTATTTATAGTTCAGCTTTCTTTAAACAATCAATATTTTAAAATTTTTTAAAATATTTTTTGGCATATTTAAAAAAATATTTACAAGTGAATATGATTTTTTTTTTTTTTTTTTTTTTTGCATATTAAAAACTATTTTTAAGTTCATCTGATTCAAATTTCAAGTTAATCCAGGCGGTTTTATTCCTCTTAAATGTTATAAACAAACAGCAAAACGTTAAATATGAACTTGTAAACCAGAAACGACATGAACGAATTGAAATATTTAACTGAATCATAATAAAATTAACTTTCATTTCAATGGTATGTTGAAATCAACTTCAATATTTTATAACCTGAATGGTCAGTGATCCAACAGGTCACCGGTAGTCTAGCATGCCAATAAAGATAATAACAGTCCAAACAATATAAATAATGTAAGTGTTTACAACTTTGTACTTATTTTTTTTATTAAATGGATTTACTCCTTATTAGCGTTTAAAAAAATCAACCTCATCTTTTATCACATACTCGAGGAAGATTAGACAATTTTCATGCCTTAATTAGATCAGTTATTTTCATTCTCACCCAATACAATTTAATTATATCAAAAATTGAACTGGAGTACGAAATGTATTGAAAATGGTTAAATGTAAGAACAATTTCTGAGAAGTCTGAAAGTGAATTTTGGTTGCATAGAAATTGAAAGCCAAAGTTTATAGATTTAGTTTCAATACTTGAAGTTTGCAGTGACACATTTGTTTTTTTAATTGATTCACCCCAAACAAGGCAGGAATGCCACTAGTTGGCAGGCGGATTACCAGGAGTGAAAGTGAGAGAAAAGAGTGAGTATAGGGAGGATTGAGGAAAGGATAAAAGATGAACGGGATTCAAGAAGATAGAACATGGCGATTGACGTTGCATTTAATTTTTTGAAGATTATAGTTATGAAAGAAGCGAGTAACTGGAAGGGAGCTCAACGGGTGGAGGGGAGTGCGGGAAAAGAAACTGTTGGAGTAGAAGTGGCAGTTGCATTTAGCAATTGCAACAACAAAAGAGTAGAACCTAGACGCCAATCTTGTGGCACGCTTAATTTCATGCAATCGGGGCACCAGTGAATAAAGCTCGCCAGAGCAGTTGCCATGGGAATATTTCTTTTTAGAAAAGAAGACAAAGGAGGAAAGTGGCTGAAGTCGAGATGACAAGTCAGGATCTATTACATTGCAGATCCTTCTTTGGATTTAGTCAAGAAGTATCTCGCGGTGAATAGCAGAAGCACCAGACCAGATATGACTACAGTATTCACTGCACAGACGAATGGTAGATTTGTAAATATGCAAGATGTACTCTGACGAGAAATAATGAAAGATTTCAACTCAACAGATAACCTGTATAGGAGGAGGAGGAGGAGGAGGAGGAGGAGGAGGAGGAGGTTGACACGTGGGAAATGCTGTTCAACGAGTGGCTATGGTAGATAAACGCCGGCT